AAGAGGGTGCACATGGGGAGACCCAAGTGCCTACTAACGCTCACTGTCCCCGAAGTCCCCCCCAAGACTTTGTTCCAGCCCCTTTGTGGTGCTCCATGGAGGGGAGAGCGGGTACTCACTGTCCAGGCAGGGCTCGCAGACGGTCTGGTTGACCCCGCAGGGCTGCACCACCCCCTCTCCCAGGTTGCAGGCTTTGCAGCACTCCCCGCTCGTTGTGTACATCTTGGTGAAGCACTTGTCCTTGGAGCCCCAGGCGGGTCCCTGGGGGAGAAAACAGAGGCTGGAGGTGACCTTTGTTATGGGACCTTCCCTGCAGGCGGAGATGTGCCTCGCATCCAGGTAGGGTCCTGCTCTGGGGTGGACATCCCATGTCGGGGCTGAAGGGGGCTCACATATTCTATGTAGGTCTTGGGGGGGGCGGAAAATGACTTTCCTATGCAAAATTTGCTCATCAAGAAACCCCACATCTCCACGGTCCGGGCTGGCGGGTAGTTTTTGGTGGGGGCTGTGGGCTTTTTTTGCGGGGTTATGGCTTTCTATGTCCTAGTCTGTCAGCTGAGTTGTCTCCTCTAAAAGTGCTTTGACATCCTGAAGGGTTCAGCCCTTCCCACCCTCCAGGCGGGCGGCAGGGAGACCTGCCTGCCGCGGTGGAGGGTTTGGAGAGCCGGGGCGGCACTTCCGCACAGCGCTCTCGCTGCGCAGGGAGATTGAAAAATCAGACCCTCATGATGGAAACGAAGACTTTGAAGGGAGCACTGAGACCTTCAGCAACACTACTCGCTCTGGAGCCATTCCAAACCAGCCTGGACGCCGTCCTGTGCCACTGCTGGAGGTGCCCCTGCTCTGGCGGGGGGTGGGATGGGGGAGCTCCAGAGGGCCCTTCCAACCCCAACCGTGCTGGGATACTGTCTAATGGAAGTCAGCGTATCTGCCTATAAAACCTGCCGTGGCATATGGAAGTGATAAACACGCCGTGAGCGATGGGGTCAGAGCCACCCTACACGTGCACTTTGCAGCCTGGGGAGCGGGGAGCATTAGTGGGACAACTGCTCCCCAAAACACCTCTTGGCCAGGGCCGTGTCGTGCAGGAAACCTCCTTGCCCGGTTCGGGGCTGCCAAGATGCTCGGGATGCTCTGAGCTCTGCCAGGGTTCCTTTTGCTCCCTCTGCACGCAGGCAGGTGTGCTCCAGGGCTGGACCATCCCTTTGCCACCCACCTAAGCCTGATTTTTTTTTTTTTTTTTTTTTTTTTTTTGGGGTGGTGGTGAGGAAGAAACTCGGCTAACGCTTGGAGAAGCTCTCCTTCCCAGCGCATCTGGATGCCTCGTCAGCCAGTTGGCCGCCTCCTCCTCGCACAATGCGGCAGTTATGAACTCGCTGTGCATCATCCGGCAGCATCCGGCCGGGGCTGAGACAATGGAGCGCCAATTATAGGCATCTGAATGACAAAGTGCTCCAATTACCCTGCGCTTGAAAGCATGTGCTCTCCTCCCTGGCGCTGCTGCTGCTGCTGCTTCTTCGCCAGCCCAGGCTGGGAGGCCGCTCCGGCACTGGGGCCCAGTCGTGCAGGCAGCAGGGCATGGGATGGGAGGGATGGGGAGGGGGGGGGATGGAGGGCTTCCCAGCACCCCCCAAATGACAGCTGGGAAATGGCTTTTTTTGGGGGTGAGGAAGGGGTTTGCGTTGCAGGGGGTTGGCTGCGCGCCTTCCCCCCCGGGATGGATGCCCTAGGGCTTTGTGGCCAACCTGGCTAGAGAACCACCCCGCTGCTTCGTCCCCTGCAGCCCTGCCTTGCAGTGCATCCCCCCTGCTTGGGCAGGGGTTTGCCCCCCCGCCCCCGCATCCCCCACCG